CAGTGCGTGTCAGAAATAATGTCTCATGTTCCTCAATTTGTCTAAAGCCAACTTGAACATCTCGCATCTTTTTTCCATGTAGGGCTCCAATCTGTGTTGGATGATCTTAAGCATTATTTTGCTGGCATGTGAAATTAAGGTTATTAGATAATAATTTGCACTCTCTCTTAAATCTCTTTTTTTTAAAAATAAAATAAAATAGGAATGTAGATTGACCTCTTCCAATCTGTATGCTACTGTGTTGTTTTCCAGATTTGCTGGCATAGCTTAGTTAGACTTTTTACTGATTCTTTTTCTGTAGCTTCCAATGCTTCTGTAGGTTTTCCATCAGTTCCTGTAGGCTTCCTGTAATGACCAAAGTACCAATCTAATTTAATCTTCTAAGAACTAAGTACAAACTTCTTGAAAGTAAGGATCTAAGATATTGGATGTTGACATTTCTACTATACAGAGCTTCAGTATATTTCTTTTTTCTTTGATTGGTAGCACCTAACACTCTTGGCATCTTTTAGCATAATCAGTTCAAAGTTGAAACTTCTTTCTGAGTTCAGATATACAATATGATAAAAAGGCAGAAAAATATGACTATTTCTTTAATCTTCCCAAATGCAAACAATTTTAAAGATATTTAACTCTGTAGTAGAACCTATTATGATAAACTTCAAAGTTGAAATGAGATTTTAACAAAGCTGGGATTGAATTAGGAGTTTATCAAACAAATTTCTCTGTACGAATGCTTTTGAAATAGCTCTACCATCATAAAAGATGGAAAATATGGACAGGAGAGTGATGATACCCTATAAAATATGTCCCTTAACAATGGCATATTTCTGTATTCTTCATGAACTTGTCCTTGTAAAGACTGTCCAAGTCACGGCATCTTGTGTGAGTGACTTCCCTAATTTAGAGTATACTATGTGAAGAAATACTTTTAAATGTTCTGAATCTTACATTGTTCAATTACATTAAATTCTGTTGGATTTAACACTGGAAGAGACAATAGAAATAGTGACATCTGAAGCCATTGCTTGAGACAATGAATTATTTCAATTAGCAAAGTTTAGTAAGATTCTAAAGAAGGAAATAAAATATAGTGATATTAGACATGTTGGAAATCTATCTACAGCCGAATAACTGCATATTGTCTTGGTGTAAATTGAAATTGTATTATGCGCTGCACTGGAAGAGTTTGATAATGTACATAAATGTGAAAATAATGATTCTTCAGTGTAGAAGAATGAAAGAGGTAATAAACAAGCATATACTCATTTCTGCTTCACAACATCTTTTTTTGGATGATCATCTGAGTGCAATCATAATTCTCCAGTTTAAACATTGGCTTTCTTGCCCAAGCAGTTTGAAACAATTAAGGAATTTGCTGTCATGCATGTCTTGATGAGTTTTGTAAAAGGCTGATTGACAGTTTTAAACTGATGATTGCTTTGACATATTTGCATGTATTTGTACTAATTTACATGTTCCATATTTATTAATTTGCAGTGGAATATTAGATGATGGATGGTTGAGTTTTGCTGGGCTTATCTATCTTTCATACTTGTTTAGGGTTGCGTACATCTGGCTGATTGTAACATTTGCCACACAAGTGAATGAAGCAATATAATTTTATAGATATTTGAGCAAATGTTTAATAACTTTTACAGTATGAGAACTTGCTTTAATTAGAATGTTCAGAGATTTCAATAATTTGCTCAACATTACAATTCAAGGAATCAGAGAAATTTTACGTGGGATTGAAGAAATAAAATTTGTCAAGAATATTTGAAGCCTCAGGTGGACCCCAAAACAGTTCTTCAAACTGATTTGATATTCATTTTGGGAGTAACAAGCATTGATCATAATGTGGCTTACTTATTTAAACTTGTATATAGGTGTAAGACTTAAGACTTGCTAGAATCATCTTAAAAAATTGAATTGAAAAGAAAACCTGCCTATCCAAAGTGACATGTCATTTGAAACAATGAGATGTTTTTCTCTTGACCATCATTCTCTGATATTATTAATACTGTGCGTTCAACTATTATGCTAAGTATAGGGAATCCTGATTTCACAATCAATACCATCTTCGTAATTCAATTGCACCTTTCCTCAGAAGTAACTTGCATTATGGCACTTGTAAATAACTTCATATTGGGTGTAAAAGACATTGTATATGGTAATTTACTAACTTTGCATATATCACTTAGAGTAAATCTCTTTATTATCTAAATGTAGGTCTTTTGCAATGGGTGAAACTGATAGACAACTTTGATGCAGAATATGAGTATGTCACCAATGAGGGAACAATTTTCTCCTTCAAGACAAATCGAAATGCTCCAAACTATCAATTAATCAACATTGATTTTACTGAACCTGAGGAATCAAAATGGAAAGTGCTGATTCCTGAGCATGGAAAAGATGTTCTAGGTAAGATTATTTAAGTTATATATTTCAGCAACAACAACAGAATATAATCCATTATAAGAGAATATAGCACTATTATAACTGTTGAGAGCTATACATTATTCATATTAATTAAAGCAAAGCTCCAAACTTAAGAAACTTTTGAGAGGCAAATATCATAATTGTACAGTTACATTTTTATGAAGCTGTGATTGCTGTATGATTCACAAATGAGTAATATACAATGATAGTATTCTCCCCCCCCCTTTTTTTTTAAAAGAATAGCTGATGCTGTTTGAGGGATATGATGGATTTAAAATGTATCCTTGCAATGTAATAGTTCAGGAAGATCTATTTGAATAAGTTTATTCTAAACATGATGATAGATGTTTATCATGATACATATTGATAATTTTAAACTTAGAAGTAACTTTTCTAAATACAATGGGACAATGTCCATTCAGTTATTTTTAAACATATATTAAACATGTACTGTAGCCATGTACTAGCACCATTAAAAATATGATATAACTTCAAAATTAATTGTAATAACAAAGATTTGATCATGTTTGAGAAATCTTCTTACGTAATAAGGAAATAGTCTTGATACTAAAAGGCCAACCTGCTATTGTGTCACAATACTTTAACCCATTTAGTCATTTACAAAATTTGATTTGAGAAGATATAATTATAGCTGAAAGCAGTTAATAATGTATTGCTGTAAAATCTTCACAGTCAAGTGAATTTTTGATTCTGCCTCATATAACAATGACATAGTAATGAAATACTTTATACAAAATCAAGATATGTGACAGAAAGGTTAAATGATCACTTAGCATAAGTGACTCATTGCTCTGGTAACAAAAATGGGCTTAGAAAAATACCCAACAATTCAACCCTGAATTACATGCATTCTCTATTATTAACATCTATGGTTTCCTGGATTTTATGAGATACAGTTCCTATCTCATTCTCTATCTCTTTGTACATAAGGATGTTTTGGGAGTGCCTTCCAAATGACTTCTTTGAATCAATCCAGTATAAAAGTTGATTTTCTGTTAAGTCCATCTTCCGTCTTTGTATACTATTACTTGGCTGCTCAACAGGTATCATATCAAGGGTGATCCTTGAGTTGAGTTATAAAGACTTAGTGCTGATATATGTTTGGGACTCAGTTCTGTGACTTTCAGTAACAGTAAACCAAATATCTTTAGCAGGGGTGTCAAACTCGTGGCATCACATTGTCATCACGTGCCATATCACAACTTTTTCCCCATTTGCTAAATCAGGGGTGGGCATGGCCAGTGCATGACGCATCCGATCCGCGCCCCGTAAGTTTGACACACCTGATCTATAGGACAAAAATCCCAAGACAATAACAGTTAGCAAGGGTCAAAATGTCATTGTTTTTAAAGATGGTTTGTAAGTTGTTGATTTTTTTATTTTTTTTTTAAAAAAGTCAAGGTAGAGCAATCATATTTGTCCCTTTGATAGTTATAATGGTTTCTACTACTCAGTAGGATTGAGCAAAAAATTGTAATACTTCAAATGGAAAGTATTGGGGAGTGGGAGTAAGGCAGAAGGATAGCAAATAGAATGGAATAAGAAATAACATAGGGAAACAATTAAGTTGCAAAGAATTGTCCATCAGATAGATAGATGATAGGTAGCTAGATAGATGATAGG